GAATAAAATTCAACGAACATGGACTGAGATGCCTCCTTCTGGCATGCACAAGGATGGCATAATTTGTTTCAAGTGCTCCAATCCCAATCACTTTGCTAAGGACTGTAACCAAAGACATCTGGAGGAGATAGATATCCAGATACATAGATCATTTCATGAGAGGAGGTCAATGCCAGTCCCCTCCCTGAAAAAGTAAAGAATGATGCACAACCAGACATAAAAGTGCTTGTAGATGAAGAGAAGTGCATAGCCATTGTAGATTCTAGTGAGCAGATCTGTATGCCACCTTTGATGACACTGGGAAGTGAAGGTGATGACAGCTGATGGGAAATCACTAAAGTGCTATGGGTATAGCACAGTCAAATTGGATGTTGGTTGTACTTGACCTATGAACATTGAAATCCTGGTTGTGGATGGAATATTGCTAGGCTTTGATCTATTTTGGGGGATTGATGCAATCCAGGAGCTTGGAGAAATGTGCATCACTAAATCAGGAGAAGTCCACTTCCCTCAGGAAGATATACCTCAGTGTCCTGCCATTTCCATCAATGAACTTGATTTTAGTGTACAATTCAACCACCAGAAGGAGGTTTGGATTGCCTTGTGCAAATGGGCCAGTGGTCAAATACCCGAAAGACTGAAAAAGAGTATACCAGAGTACACTGTGCCTGACACTGTCAAGGATAAATACGAAAAAGAGCTGTAGCTGTGGCTAGGCAATGAATGACTGCTACCATATCCTGAAAGTGAGCTTGGTCCACCCAAGGGCCTGATTCCACTGACTGTAGTAGTTCTAGAGAACAAACAGTGCTTGATTACAGAGAATTGAACAATTTTGTGGAAGTGTTCACTTCCAACGTGGATGTGTGTGTCCAAAAGTTGAGGGAATGGCAGTGGCAAGGAGTGAATGTATCTCTGTTAGATTTGTGAAAAGCTTACTTACAGATACACACTGACAAGGTATTCTGGCCCTTTCAGAACAAGCTGATCAAATGCAAGAGGTATTGCCTTACGCAATTGGAATTTAGCTTAAATGTTGCACTTGGTTATGTACCAGAACACGTCAATCAATGAGGCCACATCAGCTTATATACACAGCATATATGTCAACAAAGCTTTGGTTTTTACTACAAAGGTGAGGGAACATCTACCCAATTAGAGACTTACTTGCAAAAACCCAGAGAGACTGAAAGATGGGACCAAAGTATTGAGCCTGCACATCTGGTACTCTCCGATAGAAGCAAGAAGTCCTGGACCTAAGTATATTAATTTAGCAGAACGCAATGTAATAATAAAAGGCATCAATTTGGCCCTCCAATGACAGATGACAGTCTTGCACCTGGTTAATGTCTCTGTGTGTGTTCATTACTGGATATCAGACATCTTGACAGAGAAGGCACATGTAAAAATGAGGGCAGCCAGTGAGATGTCGATTAGATGGTGACTGGAAACACTTCGCTCATTGGTTTATACATTTATACATTGACAATAGATGTGAAGCTGGTCGAATCAGCACTAAATCAAGCAGATTACCTCAATAGAGTGGCCCAGAGGTGGGTGGAGCTGCACAAGGAAGGAGATGAACCTGTACAACTAGGGTGTGCCACCATAAAATAGTTGAGTGAGATTCAGGTAGCTAAAATCCACCAACAAAGTGGGCATCCAGGTATGAAGAGGACACTATATTTTGCCAGGTCTGTCAACCCTTTAGTATCAACAACAGTCACAAAGTCAGTTATCAAGAATTGTGAATTGTGGCAGAAAGGAAAGCTGGGAGTGAAAAACAACTGGAGCAGGTTAGCAATGGATATCACATACTACAGCAGTGGTCCATCTTCATTTGCAATATGGCAACCACTTGGTTGACAAGACTCCACCAGTGTCATTAAGCAATTAACATTAATTTTTTACAAGTGGGGCCCACTGACCAAAATATTAACTGACAGTAACACAGCTTTCACAGGTGGGTACTTCAGAAAATTCCTCAGTGATTGGGGCATGCAGGTTCAATTCCAATGTGCTTATCCACCTACTGGGAATGGTATAGTTAAAAGGAGTCATAGAAGCATTAAAACCATAGCTGCTAGAAAGCAGTTCTCCATATAAGAAGCAGTCTACTGGCATAACATCACCCATAAGGACAACTTCTCATCATTTACAGCATCGGCAGATTCACTAGATAAGTATCATAAGTATATGGAGAATCGTTGCAACAACTCCACCTAAACTATGGAATACTCAAGGAGCATACGAGATGAAAGACATTGTCTGGGTTAAGATTCTGCAAGGGAGGTGTAAAACCAAATTTAAGATGGGCTACATAACCAAAGTTAACAGTTTGCAGTCTGTACAGGTTGACAGAATTCCCCAGCATGCGAAGGACTTGCGTCCCTTTTGGAGGTCACATTCTCTATCTGAACATGGAGGTGATTCAACAGAAAGTGAGCTGTTAGTCAACTTGAGATTGACTTCACCAGGCGATTCTCCTGGTACCAGCAGTGCGGAGTCTGGCACAGGAGAACCCAATGACTCATCCAGTAGCAATTCATCTGAAGACAAATCTTATGTTGCTTCCCCCGATTGCATCTGCTGTGATCATGAGATCAATGGGGAGTTTAGTGAACTACCACGGAGGGCAAAAGGCTCCAGGGTTGCATGTATTTTTTGCAATGCTAGAATAAAATCAAGGATAAAATAACTTACTTCCAGCACGAGCAAAGATTTGAATGTACCTCACATGTAAACTGTCCAAAGAAGAAAGAAATGGTGGCTTTGTGGATTACATATTTAAAATAGCTAGATCCCAGAGTAAGATACTCACTTGTTACTCACTTCTCAAATGGGAAAAACATGGTGACAGGGGAGAAATGGCAGTTGACTGCTGTGTTGAACTGGCTACATATATTGTGGACAGTCAGTGAGAAGACATTGATTGCAAGAAAAAGTTTAAAGCTTTTTTGCTTAAAAAAAATGAATTCAGTAAATGCACAAAAGTAGAAAGGGATGTAAAACAAGGATGTGTCTTCTCACCATACTTATTCGACCTTTACAGTGAGGTGATTATGAGAGAATTACAAGTTCTACTATGATTCATTACTGGCAATCACAATCTTAATTACTGATAGCAGGCACAGAAAAGAAACTACAGAAATCCCTACAAAAGGTAGTAGAAAGTAAAAAAAGGACTAAACATCATTTGTAAGATGATAGAATGTATGATTGTGACCATAAGGAACAGCTAAGGATGTGAACTATGAATTAGAAATACCAAAATCAAGTACAAAATTTAAATATCTTGGAAATACTTTAACAGAGAATGGAAAATGTAACATCAAACCCAAAGGCACATTGAGATAGTGAAAGATGTCTTCCAAAAGTTAAGCAAAATATTAATAAGAAACTTTTGTTAGTAAAGAAAAGAGTACTTGAACTGTTATGTAATATCAATCCTCCAATATGGTATTGAATTCTGAACAATTTCATCACAGATGGAGGAGATTTGAGGCAAAACAAAATTCTACAGAAGGATGCTTAAGTAAAAATGTGAGCATTGATGAAATTTTGAAACAATAGAAAGAAAAAGGACACTTATACTAGAATCAGAAAGAGACAGTTGAAATTTTTAGGGCACTTAAGAGAGCCTGGAAAATTTGACACTCACAGGACGTATAGAAGGCAGGAGAGACAGAGGAAAATAGCGTATAACCTACCTAATGAGCTTGTGTAAATTGTTGGTAGAACAGGGATTGAGAGAGATAGCAAAAAGACAAACTTTATTAAGGGTTACGAAGGACAGCAGGTTGTGGAGAACCATGATCACCTATGTCCTAAAAGGACACCGCACGTAGAACAATGCTATATCAAAAGTTCCTAAGATTGTTGTGCTCAGGGGTCGAGTTAAAGGGAAATAATTCATCATAAATTCAACGTGGACGACTTAGAAAAATAATAGAAAAAAAATTGTGCTTTTTGGATTTTTTCGAGTGACGATTATTCAAATTTTAAATTTATTAATAAACAAAATAACAATGTAAAAAAGAATCGGATATTTAATTAGAAAAACCTCCAAAAAGGACATAAATTTTAATTTCAAGAGATACATTATTTGTTTTCTAACAATTGAATTGAGTTAAACAACACTACCAAGTCCAAATGATATGAAGTCTGTTTTTTTAAGTGAAAAACTAAATAAAGTAATGCAAAAAATAAACAAATTAGAGCAAATTAAGTCAAAATCAAAACGCATTATTCAAGAGATTAATTTTGTTTTATCTTAAGCTTCATCTTAAAATATAAAAATTAAAAGTAAAACTGCTAAAAAACTAAAACGTGTACTATTTTTATGAAACTTTTTTTGTCTCACTCGTTAAGTTCTTTTAATTTTACTTTTGTTGTGTCCTTTGAACATACGGTATTTCGCTGTAGAGCAAAATCGTATTACATAGTGATTGAAATCGATGCTTACTATGTGTGCACCATGTCCATATGTATTGTTACAAAGTAACACTGGCAATAAAGAAAACAATCACGTCCATTTATGTTCAAAGAAAACTCAGTAAAATATTCATTTAGTTATTATTAAAAATAGGATTTCAAAAGATTGCTTAAAATAAATCATAATACATAGTTTACTTACAGTTTGTTTTTCGTTACATATCAACATTTTAAAAACTATTATTTTATTACTTCAAAATACGCAGCAATGTTTTAATTCCAGATACAAGTTAGCGGTCTTAATATTAATTTATTTTGTTTTGCTATTGTTATTTGATTAAAAAAGGAATAGGCGGAAACATTTAAATACAAGGTTGAATTAAATGACATATTGATTGACAGAGTAATAGACACATGTGCCGTTTGTATATGAAAATTATTGAAGAATTCCACCAAAACAACGATAGGTGCAATAAATTGTTGTCTTAACGAGACAAATGCCTGATGACAAAAAAATGAGTTTCTCGTTGGTGATATATAAAAAATGGTCAAAGAGTTTAACTTACAATAACCGCGAGTTTTCTAAGGTTACGTTGAGGCTGTAATATGCAATACACCATGGAAGCCATGTTTCTGTAGAAAGCGGGTGGGGCGGGTAAGGAGGTGCTCTCGTGAGATGAGACTTAACATCAGGTGCGATTCTTTTTTTTTTTCTTTTTTGGCTTAGATAACTATGTAATTACTAGTATTTTCTTTTCATTTTTTTCTTGTTCTCTAGACAGACGTTCTTAGCTGCCGTTAGAGTATTTATTTATTTATTTTTGCATTTATCTGTAACACTGTATTAGAAGCCTCGGTTAAGAAAGAAAAGGGAAAGGTTATATCATCAGTCTGCTTGTTTTGTTTACCCTCTAGTCCAGTCAAGAAGCAGAGATCTTGATCTTGAGGTCGAAGATTGCAAACCACTGACATCAACATTTCACCATCTAGGAAGTTAAGATTCAACAGATAAGATAAAAATTAATTATTCTTAAAATTGAATGTTATTTTCCTTTTCCTTTTTTTTTTTTTTAAACGGATGATGAAACGGAAAGAATATTGTTTTTTTGTTGATTTTTTAGAAAAAGTATACCTGTTCTGTACACACGGGTTTAAGCAGGTGTTTCAGAAATATTTATTAATTTCAAATAGTTAATAAATAAAATAAATTTGTAAAAGTTATACCAATAATCAGGCCTGAACTTTCAAGCAATCAAAATTTTCTTTGGGTCAACAATAAAAACTATTTTTAATTTTTTGTAATATCTTTTTTTTAACGATTATAACTGCTTTTTTTACCAAAACAATTTAAAATTTTAAAAAATCTTCTTTTTGGATATAAAGGAGAATTACTAGTTATTTTTTAAGAGTTGTTGTTAATGTTAGTGATATAAGCTTACTCATTCATTAGAGTAGAGGTAGTATTTTCTAACAAATCAGTTTTTTTTTTTTTTAATTTTATTGTTCCTAACTGGCTTCTGTGATCTGATTTATCATTTACCGGATACTAAAACTGATAGTTTTCCAAGTTAGTTTCTCCAACAAATCACAAACACAGATCTCTATCAACAACTGATACTGAATGGCTCATAATTTTCTTCAATTGATACTGGATGATGCACTTTCATTTTGACCAGATTTCTTCTACTCCTTTTCTTTTTATAATCATTTCAACCCAAGCACAGCAATAAAGCCACTAAGATGCAAGGGGTTACTGAGAATGAAGGAAACTAAGAAAATGTTACTGAGGATAAAGGACAATAAAAGAATTGAATTCAAGGAAACAGAAGATAACAATTGACATTGCATTTAAATTTTTAAAGATTGTACTTGACAGGAAAGCAAGAAGCTGGAAGAGAGTTCCATAGACAAGAAGTGTGAGAGAAGAAACTATTAGAATAGAACTTACATTTACATCAAACCATTTCAACAGTTAAATGATGAGATCTAGCTGCCTATCTAGTATTATGATTAAATTCATGAAGTCACGGTACCAAAGAGGAAAGCTCATCAGAACAATTACCATGAAAATATTTATAGAAAAGGCACAGGGAATCTATGGTGCAATGGTGGGAAGTGACTGAAGGCACAGGTACCAGATCAAAACTGATAACATTACAAATTATTCTTTGGATTTTGTCAAGAATCTATAGATACATAGCAGAAGTACCAGATAAGATATGACATCAATATTCAACACATGGATGACTGGTAGACTTATAAAGGTGTAACATAGATTTGGGTGAGAAAAATTGACTGGCATGATAAAGTGAACCAACTTTCTTAGCAGCAGACTTAATTCTTTTCCTAAGTTTTTATCAACTTCAAACTTACATAAAAAAATTGTTGTATTCTCAACTCAACTTCACCTGTGAGTGAATCTATGACAAATGTTTTAAAGTTATTATCATTTTGAACAGGAGTAGAGGCTTATCCCTTGTTTCCTGTTTAGGATTGGGTTCCTTCTAAAGTTTTCTCATTCTCCTTCACTCTCAGTAGCCCCTTACATCTTAGTGGTATTATTGCCTTGCATGTGATGGATTAAAAAAAAGTTTTTCATTCAAATAACAGCAAACCTATTTCATTATCATTATTTTAATTATGTCTTCTTTTTTATTTTTACAACCTACTCACTTGTGTAGGACAGTTCTATCTTATATTTACTACAAGTATAAATCTATGCCAAAAGCAGTTAAAAGTACAAGAAAATTTTAATATCTCTTAAAAACAAAAGTGATGCAACTATCTAAAGGATAATACTTCAACTTTCTTTTTTGGTGGTTACCACCAAACTGATACAAATATATATTCAGTTTTGCACTGAAAGCTTCAGTATTTGGGATGTCTATACATGAGAAAGATCAAATTTGAATTACTTACAATATATTTATGAGATGTCATAAATTGCACATTATCTCACTGATCATTTTTGGGCCCACAACTTTTCTTTTTCAGAAATATAGGATGACTATTTAGTTCACTCAAAGATTGCCCCAAAACTAACAATCTTTGTCACAATTTTTGAGATGAGAAATTATCATTATTATATACCTTGCTATGCATGCTCATCTTGATTGTTATACACAGAAAGTATTGTTCTTTGTACCCTCTAGCCCTTTTCAGAATCTACTATGGGAACAGATCATTCTCATTCTCAGATGCTTTGACTCACAACTGTCAGTATTGGCTAAAACATATCTGGTTCCATAGAAGGAACTTACACATACATACAAACATATTAATTTTTTTATTTCCTCACTTATATTTCTTTGTTGGCTGGGGCTGTAGAATGCACAACTGCACCTCTGCAGAAGGGTAAGATCCCCACCCCCAATAAGTCTACCTGTTTCCTGTGGGTGGTGACCTGTGATGCCTGAGAACAAAATACTGGCTGGTAGTCAAGCAGTTAATGTCCCTTGTGACTAAGGGGCCTTTGACTATGACACTCCACTTTGGCCCTAGATGGGAGATTGGAGAGGCCCAATTCAATCATTTGGCTGATCACTCCAAGCTCTACTTTAAATCCCACCCAGTGGCTCATGGGTCAATCACACTGAGAGCAACAATCTTTAAACTGCTATACTCTCTGCCGATATAACTAGTTTATTATGTTACTAGTATTTGGAAATTACAGGAGCTTAAAGTTTGCCCTTCGTGTAAGTATGTTTGCTTGTGCAATTGGGTTTATTCCTTTGTAATTCCCAACAATGACAGGTGAGCAGCACAACTAATGAAGATTAATAATCTACATATGGCACTAGAGAGGAATGAAAAACACAAAAGACCACTCTCTGACTTTGAGTATGATTCAGACAATATTGTTACCTACACATCTAACTCTGCTCTTCATGGTCATAATATCTACTGAATAGAAATCAATTACAAGCTTATAACTATTTGATATTGAAAAAACTCTATTTACAAAACTAATGTCAAAAACAGTTAAAAAAAACTTAGAAATGGAATGCTGCTAATTTAAATAAATAACAGGAAACAGATCATTCCTTTTCATTAACATGAATTCTACTGCATAAAAATAAAAGTGTATCCCCACAGAACTCTGAACATTGAAGGGTGGGCCCAAAAGCTGAGAACTCCTTCTCTGCATTATAGATGAGATAAAAACAGATCTCAGGAGACAATATATTTGAAAAGACAATAAAAAATAGAAAGCAACACACACACATTAATGTTCAACTACCCTAAAATACCTGGAGAGGTCAAGATTGGATACACTATGGTTAAGATTGAACCCTACATACCAAATCCTTGCAAGTGCTTTCATTGTCACAAATTTGTCACCATCAATCAAAATGCACCAGGCAAGAGATATTTGGGAAATCCAGCGAAAGAAATCCAAATTATCCAGTAAAAGAATACGCAAATACATTTCAATGTGCAAAATGGAGAAGAAACAATCCTGCAAAACTTGGCAAAAAGAGAAATCATAGACATGAGACTTTGGGCACTTTGACATGGTGTAATGTTTAGCAAGCTTGTCTTGCTAGATCAATTATGACTGAATAGTGAGTTCAATTCTCACTGGGTTCAAAAAAAAAAAAACAACCTAAGAAAAACTACTAACACTAATCAATGAAGTCAAACATTGAAATACTATATCATCAATTCAGAATCAAACAGTAACACCAAAACAATGAGAAATCAAAACATATTTGACTCTCCCCAATTAAATATGAACTTCCACTCAGTCTACGATAAATCATACCCAACCAACAACTGAGAAAAAGCTACAGAGAACATCAAAACAGTCATCCCAAACCAGAGATTCCTTAACATCAATAATAAAAATCACAAAAAAACTAACAAGACCATTCAAACAAGCAAAAACACTGCAGCCTCTAATAAACCACCCAAAAACTGTAACAATAAAATGATAACTATTAGTAGATCTGAAAGTATAGAAAGCATGTACACTGAACATAAAAACGAAATAAAAATGGAAAAAACTTTCATATTGACATACATTTGTATATGCTTAATAATAATGTTTTACCCAAACATTCCAAAATACTCAAAAAACCCAAACAGCTCAAGTGGGATCTCAAACAAATAACCATATAAAACTATATAACAATACAACATTCACACTATCGAACTGCAGAGGAGTAAAAACAAACTAGAAAGAAATCAAACAAATAATAAATAATCATAATCCTGCAGTAACCAGTCTTCAAGAAACAACAAGAAACAATCCACAAAGAAAATTATAACTACAAATTCAAAGATTTTTGTCATACATAAAATTCATTTTATGTACGACAAAATCTACACATTAATAACCAACAACAGGCCAACTTCAGGTACATCTATATTAATTCAAAATTTATACCACATGAAACATTTCAATTAAAATCCCAACTACAAGCAATAGCAATAAGAGCAACTTTACACCATAAAATATCAATATGCTCACATCACCAATGCAAAAAAGACGAAGAGACAAACAAAAATATCCTTAAAAAAAATCAAGAGCCCCTAATCTAATTCATTAAAATATTAATAAACATAGCCAAATAAACAATTCCAAAATCCTCAACAAATTCAAACAAAAACCAAAAACTGGTTTACA